AACTGTTGTTCGATCAACTCCTAATGATTTTGCAACATCGGATTGCGTCTGACATGGATCTTCAGCAAGTAATGTTTCCAATTCTTCGTCTTGAAACTTTTTTGGTGCATCACTGCGTTCTCTATCTTGAACATCAAAATCACCATTTTTAAATCGGTTAAACTAATCTCTGCATGTTCTTTCCGACAGAGCATGATCACCATAGGTTTCTACAAGAATTCTGTATGCTTAAGCTGCAGATTTCTTCTGAATAAAGTAGTGCAGTAAAATTCCCCGCAAAAACGGTTTATTTGGCACGAAATTTGACATGTTTTACGCTACGAAAAGAAAATGTTCTTTATAGGTTAATGGAAAGACACGCACTGATTTTAAACATAGGTTATAGAACTTCAATATAAATGCGTTATCATCTTGAATTATACCCACAAAATTTTTATACCGACATCTAATGGTGAAACGGCGAGAACTTATTCACACTCCCAATAATTTAACCGTTTAATTGCTAAATTGCTCGCTGATCCGAAAAACCGTTCAATTGATCCCACGCGATCTCAGAATTCGCATTCTGCATGCGGAATTTTGGTTTGATTCTTTTCATTCAAGCACATCGAAGTACTCTTCCGCGAATTCAACACCAAATTATAACAAATTTAACTTGAATATCTAATTGAACATATAATTGCATATTGAATATCACCATGCAAATATCCTTATCTTCCAAAAAGCGAATTTTTACATCATTTCTTTTTTTTTCATATTGACTCGTTCGTGGTTATTTTTAACAAAAGGAGGAATGCATAATAGCGTGATAAATCAAGTCTTGGACTCGAAGGTCGCGTCGAATAAGAGATACTCGAGTATTTATTTGATATATAAGTGTAATTTCTCAAAAAAAAAATTTCCTTAATATTCTCGAAAATTTGTATGTACATATATTACTAAAAGAAAAATAACGATTTTGACATAATCTTTTGATTACACCGAAAAAAACGAAAGAGGAAAAAATAAAAACCGCACGCAAAATTACACTCGTGTGAGAAAGCGTCTGGAGTTCGACCCGTCTGGACAAGCTTTCGGTACTTTTACACGTGTAGCAAAAGTCAAGTTTGACTCATGGAACGAACAGAAAACCGAGGCTGTTGAAAGAACAAAGGAACTAAGTAGCTCCGTGTTTTTCATGCGTATAAAGTCTGCTATTGGATCTCGAGTGGATACACGTCATCCGCGATCGGCAAAATCGCGCTCTAGTATATTATGCCTGTATATGTAACTTGTAACATCTGTAATTATAACTTACGTAAGACGACGAAGTGCAACGATACTTAACCTTGTCGTTACGACGTATCAAAATGATTCATGAGATCATTAAGTAAATTACGCGCACGCCAAAAATATAACACGAAACTTCGCTCCCAGACGACTTCAATTATGCACAATCGATCGATTCCTGTTAGATCAGTGATACAAATAGACGCTCGATTCGCTAAGATAAAGTAAAAAAAAATGAAAATCAATTCGTTTTTGTGTCAGTCAACATTGTCGTTTTATTCTGAATATTTCTGTCACATGAAACTGACATACGCAGCCCCGTGGCTCAAACTGCAGTTTTATATCTTAAAATATCACGAGACCTAGAATCGTCAAGTTACAGTCGATCGCACAAATACTCAAGCGCACCGTAGAAAGTAGTAAATAGAAGTGCGTTTGCGAGCTTTGACACTCGAGTAACTAGAAGTAGTGACGCAAAATAGTGACTTTTTCGCATTGATTTTATCGCACTTTGCGTAACTCGCATCGCAATTTGTCGTGTCGCGCGTTACAGTGGAAGTATCCGAAAGATACGGGTGTCATGGTAAAATGTACGCTTTTGCGTCTTCGCGGCTCGCGCGGATATTTTTGCGGCTGATTGTACGCGTGATGTCAACGGCGCTCGTTCACATTGCATTCGTCGACGGCATAATACAGAGCAATAGTATGAAATGTAAGATCACTGCACACGTATGTGTTTGTTCCGCTTCTTGTGATAACGGTCCGAGGGACAAGTTGCTTGACTTCGCGGGAGGAAACAAAACACTCGATAAATCTTCACAGTTTTAAGGCAGCAAACAGTCGACTCTCGCGTTGAATCAAAAGCGCCATTGCTTAAGTTAAGCACGATCTATTTAACTTGACGTAGAATAGGAAGTTTAAGCATACTTTGCGAATTATTCCGGTAGCCGATCTGTGTGTCGGATATAAGTCCGGCGTTACTCGCGATCCAACTCCTCTAAATAGGAGTACACGCACACAGCGCAGTCATCTCGTCGCGATGTTACAATTGCAATCTGTTGCAATTTAATCTGTTGCGACTTTAACCAAGATAATGCGTTTGCGAGCTCTGACACTCGAGCCGAATAATTGACTATTATTAGTACCAGACCACGCTCATTACCGTTCGTTTTGTATTCGCGCAATTGCAACCGCCATTCAGACTCTCATTAATTTCAAGAAGTTTCCAATTTATGAATTTCGTAAAATTTTTCGTAAAAAAGAGGATGGTAAAGATCGTTTCACTTCGACATTGAGAAGTGCGCGAGTTCTTTCATTATTTGTCATAATTCTTTCATTACTTGTGCAAAGAAAAATATAATAATTCTTCTACATAGCCCTAAAAGACAATTCTACGTTTCAATCCATGAAATTCTTCGAGGAAGCTTCTTTCCTTCGAAAAATGATTTATAACGTTTCACTTATAGCTTATATCCTTTTCTACTTTTCTTCGCTTTCTGACTTTTCAAACCATCCTTTTATAGTCATATGTCCACATAATGCCTTATACAATTCTGACCTTTTCCGTAGAACACATGTTCTATCTCTATTCCCCAACAATATTTTCAGTAATACACATATATTTTCAATAAGACACAATAATATACAATATATTTTCAACAATATTTTCAATAATACACTTTTCAATATAACACATATGTTATCTACTATCCAATATTTATTTATCTTTTCCATATTATCACTTCTTAATTTAACCAGCTCTTTTATATGAGTACTTATTCTGAATCTATCTAAGTTCTCCTTTCGTAGATAATTAAGGCTATCTCAATTTATTTTCATTTCTTTATATCTCTTATTACATTTCGTAATCTCTGCTATGATATTTCTCCCTTTCCTTCCCATATGTATCTTTCTAATTTCTTCTTCTTCCTTCTCTCTCCAGCATTTCCTCATTATTACTTTTTTCTTTACATTTTAAAATATATCCCCCTTATTCCTCATATCTTTCCTTCTTTTTTTCCACGTTGACACGATTTATTTTCCACGAATTCATAATAGCGATCGTTTATCGTAATAAACAGGTCAACAACGTCTTGAGAATGTCGCTCTACAAATTCTGCGTTCTCTCGCGTATATATTTAACAGAAATGACACACGCGCGTGTCGCACGCGTAATCGAGGAGTGGTAGATATGGGAAAGGACAAGCACGTTACAAATTTATGTGCTAATTAGTCCGTTCTCCTTATCGCGGTATTGACGATGCGTGGCATGAATTATTAGCAGAATAATAAATTCCTCGTCCACACATTTCGCCGTGATACTCTCTTTCTTTCTTTTCACTTAGTGTATTACAATGATGCAAAATATTCAAAATTCTATTTAATTCTGGCACGTCACGTTTATCACTCTTCTTTTTAATTAAGATCCACGCCTTTTTCATAGAGAGAATATCACGTTTTTCTGATATATTTTCTGATATACAGTGTGTGGCAAAAGTTCCGGAACGGCAAATTATTTCATAAAATATTAGTTTATTTAAAAAATGTTCAAGACAAAAATGGTAGAGGTTTAAAAGATTTATCAGATGTTGATATTTATTTGATTTTGAGATGAGAAGCGTTGTCAAAGTACAAATTTTAAATGAAACCCCCTATTTTTCATATCTTTGTAGCTGACGTTAAGACATTTCCGAAACACTAGTTGCAAACTTTTTTTTCCACAATAACTTTCCAAGTTGTGGAACTTGGAAGTTACACTTACCGCCGACATTAGCATTACTCATGATGTATCACATGGAAGTTGCACGGTCGGACTTACACCTCTTTGTGTGTGTGTGTGTATGTGCAACTTCAACGTGGTACACCTTGAATAATACTAATGTTGATGGTAAGTGTGTTTCCAAGTTACTCAGAAAGACTTCCAATAACTCGGAAAGTTCTTGTAGAAAAAAAATTTCGAAAACAAAACCAAGGCACAGGAGCGAAACTTAACCCTTTGGGGACTTAACACTTTATGTATGGTTGGGACACATGTGTCCCAGTGGTCCCCAAAGGGTTAAGCAGTATAACTTAACTTTCCAACTCCCAAACGATACCGTTTGTGTAAGTGGTCTTAAAATAACTTTACTGGAATGTTTTGATAATTATGCTGAATATATTATTTTTTTTTATTTATTTTTAATTAATTTTTCCGTTTTGAATGGCAGCTAAAGATATTCTATATCGACATAAATAACGTACAATGTTCTATTTACAATAATATTGATGTTTTTTTATTGAATTTTAATATAATTTTAATGTTTTTAAAATTTTTCTGAATCGAGTTGCTCGCTCCCTGTAGGAATGTGCGTGCAAATTCTTGAAAGTATAAAAGTCGAAAGGTTATATTTTCATTTTGCACGAGTCTCTTCCTTTCTCATTCAGAAAGAATGCTTATTCATTTTTGCGCGGTCAATCGCGTACTGAATTTACACATCAGTTCGTCCAATGGAGTGAGACCTGTTGCAAAACGAAACTGCTAGGCCGACCGTCCTTCGCAAAACCAAAAGAGAAAAACGAAGGAAGATAGGAATTTGCCGGCGGAGTTGCACTCATTCACGTGACGATCGACCACAGCATTCACCCGCCCGTCCCAATTGCAACGTTATCATCGCAACATGACCAATTAATGCGGTCTGTGGTCAATAGCCCGGCGAGACAAGTGATGCGACGAAATTTGTTAAATCACTTACCGAGGGGCAGGTCGCAGAGCAAGCAGCACGCGGCGATAGCACCGGCGGACGCTCCACTGATTTTATTCAGCAGCAAGTGCGGCGCGTACTTCTTCAAACATACCGCCACGCCGACGTGGTAGATGCCGAGGAAGCCGCAACCGGCGAACGACAGATTCATGTCGCTGTTACGGGTCTCCTGTGTCCTCGTTAATTCTCCTTGTGTTGACGTTGGTCGTTTGACAACACGCAGTGTGCTACGTAGACGCCGAGCTGTCGCTGGCCTCTCTGTCACTCTCAGCTTCCCTCCTGCGCCCGCTCTTCCGGAATTCTGATTGATATCCCTACGGATATCGAACGATACACCGCCTGGACGTTGTGACGTTCTGCGCGTCACGCGATGTAAATACACAGATACGCGTTTGCAAGGTGTCACGGTCGCCGGAGATGTGCGTTTATCTCTCGGCGATCGCGGTAATGAGATGCTCACGTGATCTGTCTTGCGCGCGTCAAATGAAATAATAAACGTCAAGTACGCGGTGCCGTCGAGCGGTGCGCGTACATACGTGCTTGCGAATAATCTTGTGTACTCACTGTACGCGAATTGCGATTCCGTGCGAAGCGGAGCGGTGCGATGCGTCTACTACGACGGTGAGTCGTGATCTGGCTGGTCGGACGAATTGCTGCGAGCAACAGCTGTTCTCACCGATTAAATCCCGGGGCTGCTCCGGAGGCACGAAAGGAAGAGGAAGGAGAGGCAGCACGTCCACATACAATCATCTTACACGGCACCGGCCTAACTACGACTGCGATATGAAACACGGTCCGGTGACGTCATAGAAGTTGGACGCCGCACGATTGGTCGCGTCGGGTGGTGTGGTGCACCGCCCATAACCCCACTGCGCTCTCGCCCTTCCTTGGTGGGAGACTACGTCACGAATGTCACAGGTGTGAAGTTATGCGCGCTATTCGTGGTGGCGTGTACATATAGGAGCGCGACCATCACGTGTATATATGGTATGTGTATATATGTATACATATTTACCTAGAAACGTGTGCGACTTCGCATAAAGGGGCCAGCTGTGTCGGATATATATATATGTGCAATGCCAGTGCAAATAAATATCTTCGCTTCCGCAGTTAAACGTTCTCATGTCGAATGCGTGTATCCAAATATTCGTGTGTCGCAAACCGGAGTGTCCTGTTGACAGTTCGGCAGCTGTGTTGACATGTGTAGAAGATTGAGGTTAGAATGTAAACAACGAATTACAGAATGTTGAACCGACGATTGGAAAGCTAGTTTTATACTCTGTAATTAATCGTTGTGACGCACAAATGCTCAAATATGATTCAATATTCAATACGAAAGTGCCTAATTTCAGAAACTGAGGCCGGGTCGTACCAAACGAATAGTAAGCTAATGATGAATTCGACTGAATGTACTAGCACTGTACGTATCAGTATACTCCAAAGCCAGTATATCGTGTAGTCCGTTCTCATATTTAAAGTCGTCTCAAGCTCACCTCCAAACGTTCCACAATGAAACGATTTATGCAGCATCTAAACTTAAGGCGATCTTAAAAATATAAGAGCAAACTATAAATGTAAAAACGAATTATGATACCGACTTTAGAGTTTATCTTGGTGCGCACTAGTGCATCCAGTCGGATTCGCTACAATAGTTAAGTCATATGTCTATTTTTGTTTTTCCTTCAAAATAAACAAAGACAGATGATTTAATTGTTAACTTACCGCTTGGTTAGTACAACCGGGCCTAAGGCGAATTTGTGTTCCTTCTAGACGACTTCTTGCACAGAAAAGTAAAGCGGGAGTATCGGAGTGCAAAAGTTGCAAGTGAGAAATGGAGCAGTCTCTCGGTGTTGAATGTGTTACCTGTTCGCTCCGCGAGATGTCAGCACAGTGATGTCTTCTTGGGCGCTGATGTCACGTCGGAAACTCGCCGGACATATCGACCGAGCGAACGAGCAGCGTTGCGTTTGGTCGATACAGACCGATGACCATCGGCGTAAGCGCGTAAACGCGAAAAACACGGGAGCGATGACGGAGCGGATGCGTAGCCACCTGAAGCAAAAAGTGTTCGTGTTCTCGCACTGGTGACTAAGCGACGTTGGTGGGAGATAAGTGGATCCAAGAGTCAAATCGCCCGTCGAGTTCCACGTACCGAGGGACGAGTAGGAAGAGGAAGTGGACGAAGAGGAGTCGTGATTGTACGCCTCTCGACAGAGACATCACGAGAGTGTCGTGCGAAAGGTCAACCTCGCCGGTGACTCGACTGTGTGCGTGTGTGTATGTGTGTGAGTGCGTGTGTGTATGTGTGTGAGTGCGTGTGTGCGTACGTGCGTGAGTGATATGCCGGCACCCCACTACCTGGTGCACAACAGCGCTGTCCACCCTTTGAAACTAACCCTCTGCCTCGCGCCCCTTGGCTGAAGTCGAGCACGTCGTCGTCGTCGTCGTCGTCATCGTCGTCATCGTTGTCGTCGTTGTGTTGTTGTTGTTGCGTCGTCGTCGTCCGCTATGTGTATGCATTGACAGCGCATCACGCCGTCAGCAAGGTGAACAGATCTCTTCTTTTTCTTGCATGCATATGTATATATATACACGAAGCGATTTATTTTCGGTGCGCGTCACTCTAGAGATCGATCAGTGGTGTGGAAGACAAACGGTCGGTTTCTCCGTCTCAGAGGAAAAAGGAGCGTGTCGAGGACGAACTCCGGGGGTGAGCCTCGCATTGAGTCGATCCTCTTAATTTCGTGAATGAGAGAAGGAAGAGGTGGAATTTTTATTTTTTATATTCATAAATTTCCCAAGTTGATAAGGAAAGAAATTTAGTGATCAGTTTTTATTAATTTTTTTGGTATACATAATCTGTACTTCAAGAAAAAACTGATTGGCAATTAGTAGTTAAAGAGTACGCTGCTATTTTGATAATTATAACTGAGATGTATCTTGTATGAATGGCACAATGAAATAAACAAAATGCATGTCACTTAAATATATATCTTGAGAAAAAATGCTACGATTCAAGAAAATTGGTTTTTGCAGACTTTGAAAAGTATGAAAAGTATAGAAGTTGCAAAGTTTAATGGAAATATAATTTTAATTTTTGAAAACAATATTAATTCTTAGGAATTTGTTCATTTATTTAATTGGAAAATATGGAAAAATTAAATAAGTACGTACATATATAATAAGTATTAAGTAAAAATATAATCAAATTTAACTCTTTACTTGAATCCTTTGTTTCTTTCTATAAATTAAGAGTCATTTGAATTAACTTTAATGCTTAATTAACGTTAATTAATATTTATGAAAATTTATAAATATACATGAATTTCATATCTAAATAAATTTACAATATATATGTAAATGCATGTAATTCATCTAGACATTTTATTTTGCAAAATGACTTATATTGTTTCTTCCAACTATATATACTCTTGCATCTTCTATCCTTAAAATACCATAAGATGTAAAATCGTGTTAGCAGATAATAGATCAAAAAAGATAAATTAGCGGAGCTTGCAAAAGAAATAATGGAAATCTAAGCGCTGAACGCGCGCGTTCTTTTGGTGCACATTAAATACAAAAGATACAGACGCAAAAACGGATCTATTATATCCTTGACAGCATGCCGCATCGATGGTGCGATTTAGCGTGATTTATATACCTCGTGACGTACAACATCGGCATCTAACTCGAATACGAAATCGCGACTCGACTTTGACTCGATACGCCCAGGATTTCATAGCATGCACAACGTATATAGCTATATTTATGTATATAGCATACATATCAGATAGATTAGCTAAGCAGGACAATCAAAATTTGAGGTCCACACATATACAGATCTCAGTACTTACAAAATTAAATAAAAATTTTGACATATATTGGGACTTTGATCTGACTGTATCAATTAATAAGAATCGTCTGGAAAAGCTACGGTGATTTCGCCTTCAGCTTTAATTGCGCGACAAATCTTTCGTTATATCTGACTAACATTTACTTCATTGATGCAAATGCCAATGCAACTGACACTCTTCCATCGGTTGCAGCATGTATGCCCTGCAGATGCAGACCGCTTGCCAGGGCGAGGGCACTGGCGAGTCTGACGATCCCAGCAGCCTTCATCAGGAACCAACGCGACCTGCTACACAGGACTGCAGTTCGTTTGACATCGTCAGAGCTACGCAGGTAACATTCATGACTGAATCAAATGCCTAAAGAAATCTCTGTGATCTGCTTCGATACTTTAAGACTGAATGGAACTTGCGTGCTTGCAGTATGGAGCATTGGATCGAGTGACGGAATTGGTGGAAGCTGGCGCCGATGTGAACCAGCCAGATTCCGAAACTGTGACGCTGCTACACTGGGCGGCGATAAATAATCGCAAAGACATCGTTAAATATCTCATCGCGAAGGGAGCTGTCGTTGATGCAATCGGTGGCGAATTAGCCTCTACACCTTTGCATTGGGCCACAAGGTCTCAGCGCGATTTAATAATAATAATAATAATTTTATTGTGCACCAATAATGCTGCACGCATTATAAAAGAAAGAAAAAATAATGCGATGCAAATACATGTAACAAAACAATCAACAGATAAAGCAATAGCATTAAAATTGCTACTTAAGTGATGTCGCTGTTATTATTCGATAAACTGAACGATTTTAGTAGAGACAAGAAAATTCCAAACTATCTCTAACCTACATTGAAATTTCTCTTAGATGTAAATTTAAGATAATTTGAAGACCTAGCTTTTCAATTGTGCTTTCAGACAGGGCCATCTTTCTACGGTTGTGATATTGATGAGAGCTGGTGCTGATCCAACTTTGAGGGATTCAGAGGGTTTCTCATGTATACATCTCGCGGCGCAGTTTGGACACACGGCCATTGTAGCCTACCTGGTGGCAAAAGGCGTGAATCCAAACATGCCAGACAGAAGTGCCATGACGCCGCTCATGTGGAGCGCTTATAAAGTCAATAGGTAGAGTAGAGTGTAGCGAGTTATTGATACACCATGCATAGCGGTTCCTCTTATTAGAATGACATTATATTAGTTACTTTAAAGTCTTTCTTTTTACAGTCTAGATCCAACGCGACTGTTGTTGACTCTAGGTGCGTCACACTCACTCACCGACAACCTACACGGTAATACGGCTTTACACTGGGCCATTATAGCGAAAAACAACACAGCGATATCTATCCTAGTGCAACATGGGGCATCGTTGGACTTGCCCAATTTTCAAAGCGAAACACCGATGACGCTATTGGGTCCGCACATCGGCGCCGCGTGGCTTGGTCAAAAAATCAGTCATGAGATTAAAGAAAAGCAAGGTCGCACGAGAACATGGTGTAGAGATAAGGTAACTATATCGTGTGTGTGTGCGTGCGTGCGTACGTGTGTGTGTGCGTGCGTGCGTGCGTGCGTGCGTGCGTGCGTGCGTGTGTGTGCGTGTGCGTGTGTATATGCTGATGTCGTGAGTTATAAATCGGAACATAATATCGCTGAGGATTGTGATTTAACCAAAATTTTCCATATTGTATTTATGTTTTCATTTTAATGACTTAGGCTTGTACTATATTGAAAAATTTATTTTCCCTGAAAGGTAATAAAATAATTAAGAAGTGACTTTGTTTTCTAACTGACATACTTCTTAAGAACTTAAAATCAAAATGTAAATTTATTTCTCAATTTCTTTTCTATTGATGCCTTTCTGTGTTGCAGAGGATCCGTTGGTATTGCATGGTCAGTACACCATTTATAGCCTTTTATGTGGTCGGTATGGTACTACAGGGCGGATGGGATTATTTAATAAAACTAGGTGCCTTTATCACCCTTTACGTAGCGGTGTATCTAATGAACCATTTCGTATTCGACGAACGCTTATTCCACATTCTACCAATGTCGATTTATTTGGCCACCAAGGTAAGAATCAAGTCCAACGTATTTCAGATAATCGAGAACGTACTCGCGCACAATTAGTTTTACGATAAGCTGTTATGTACAAGATAAGTAACACGCTGTCGATAAAACGATAAGCTTGAAAGGCTGTAGTTTTAAATGTATAAAATGATACCGTGAGCATCAAATATAATCCCCAGCAGTAGAACAAGATTTATGTATTCAATTTGCAACTGATACTTGCATATCCACCGTAATATCGCAATATTAATATTTTTATAAACACTATTTGCATACGATAATTGTTATCAGCAAATACATCTTCAGACGAGATAAGCTATATTGAGAAGTACAATAACAACTTGTACATTGTCAATATCGTCGTAAATATATTTGAATGAAACGTACTCGTAAATGCGCTAAAAAGTTAGCGAATGCTTATATTGTAGAGTATTTTAAAATTTGACACAAAAATAAAACTTACTGTCAAATCTATGGGAAAATTTGTTGCTAGAGTTACAAGCGCAATTTATAGACAATTTTACATATAAATTTAACAGGTTTTACTATAAATTACATTCAAGAACACGTTATACTAATGATAAGTTATACACTAATTTTAGATGTGGATATACGTCACATGGATATTCTGGTTGGGAATCCATGCAGCTTGGTATTTGTGGTTATTATTAGTTGGTGGATCCGTTCCACTCTGGATATGCTTTTTACAGTCTTGGCGGGGTGATCCCGGAGTTATCACGGCTACTCATGAGGACAAATTAAATGTACTTTCTGTTATTTCTATGGCATATAATTCTTTGTATATTTAGAGCTTATAGTATCTTTATTATTGAGAAAGTACATGCGAAAATAATTACTATATCTATATTTGCAGACGATTATCGAGTTAGCCGAGTCAGGTGGTTTCGAGCCACAATGGTTCTGCAGTAGTTGTTTGGTTAGGCGACCTATGAGATCTAAACATTGCTCTACATGTGACCGTTGCGTAGCGCGATTCGATCATCATTGTCCTTGGGTCAATAATTGCATCGGTAAGTACATGTTAAATATCACAATGAGTCCGTTCTGCGAGGAGACTATGACCGTACGATTTGTACAAGACAAAATAATTATTTAATTTTATTGTATGATTTTCAGGTGCGCATAATCATAAGTATTTCCTTGGATTTCTGGCGTCTTTGCTGGGTCTGTGTATCGTTATTTTATCTGCTAGTGTACAGTATTGGCAGTTTGAGTGTTGGTCAAACTTAACGAACGGGCATAGTGCGGACAACTATTTGGTAGCCGCGGCTACATGTGATGCATGGGTAATGTGGGTGGCTGCTAACACGTCTCTCCATTCCTTCTGGGTTGGAACTTTATTAGCGTGCCAATGTTATCAGGTATGACATCTTATATGTTTTATAAATCATTATTATTATAAGCAAAGGAAGAATTTTCTAACTGACAAAATAATATTGTACATATCGCGATCGTTTCATTTTTCTTTTTAGTGTATGTTACAGCGGAAGCACGAGATCAATTTTCGCGTGTTGATTGTTTTTCGGGCTTTGAATATGAACGATCGTGACGAGAGATATTCCTTGTTAATCGTGAAAATCACAATTATAGGGAGTACGATATATTGTGGAAATAAACTGTAGAGATAATTCTAAGAAATGACCGTAATATGTTTAGAGTTTCTTTAAAAAGTCAAAATTCCAGCATCGAGCAACAATAATGTCTTATTAAGGATCTAATCATCCAGGATTACAATCATGATTGCGGAGTGTAATTATTTTTTTCATCAACAGATTATGGTCTTGGGCATGACTACGAACGAACGTATGAATGCCGGCCGCTACAAACACTTCAAACAAGGAAACCCATTCCATCGTGGCGCCTTGCAAAACGCCGCTGACTTTTGTAACTTCAGTTTCTGCGGTGTGAAAGCGAAACCGAGCTCGGACTGGCTACACAGCTTTGATCTCAAACAGAGCATCGAGAAATTACCTTTGCTCGCGCAGAAGGATAATTTTCAGTACGTTTAGAATTTTGTAAAGAATAAACTATCGTGGATATATCACTTTTTATCGCCAGCCGTGAGAAGCTAAAATGTACACACATACACTTATATATAACACACATACACTTTTCGCACGCGCAAATACAGCATATCACATATACCTGATGTACTTTTTTGGGCCACCAAAGAGCCGCGAATATATAAATGACTTCCCGTACGTAAGGCAGTAATTAACAAAGATTTCGCTCGCATACTCTAAATAGCTCTACTATACAAAGTCGCTAGATAATCATTTTTCAACTCGCACGTTTCGGAAAACTATTGTTTCTCGCTAATGTGCACATATTCCATTTATACCCTAAAAATATCGACGAGCGACCGAACAATTCGCACAAGTATTTCATTCGAAAAGTTTACTTCTACCAAATGTTTTAAATCCATCTATAAGTAAAAAAATAAAATGCTTATTAAAATTTTATTAAAAATTAACAAACTAATAATTAGCAACAATATTTGATCATGTATCAACTGATTTCACAATAATAATAGTCAGTTATATGACAGCTAACTGACCAACAACTTCGATTATATAATAACAATGAACTATTAGTTGACAATATTAGCTAATTCAGAGTATCCTATTGTTCCTAGTGTATTTCGGAACAGTTATAAGCAATTCATGAGTACTTATAAAAACATATAATCGCATTTTTCTTTTTTTAAATTGAAAACTGGAAGTAAACATCTCAATTTCCTGATTACTTAACGAAGTAATATAATTTGTCAGATTAATCGTCTCGGTTGCGTATAATAGTTTTTACATATCTAGCATTAAAATTCCTTTAAGTGAAATTAAGAATATTTAATTAAGTGAAATTTAGAATATTGTTAATGGATAATAATCTTTTTTTCTTAAAGTTCCTGGTTTTTTTGCCATTATTATTAGTAACGTTAGAAGTAAGGAAATACAGCTCAAAATTCTTATAAAATATGGTGAAACAAAAGCATATATTTATAAAATAACGCGATCTATTAAATAAATTTGTACAATATTCCGAAAATTCTCTTTTTACTCTGATAATAAGTAATTGTACGGACAAATAACCGTAAAATTAAGAGGATATGTAACGTATTTTTGAAATACAAAATAGAGAAGATAAATAAGAAAAGTTTTTGGAACATCTTGTGAATCTATTTAATCGATTGCAAGTGTCATTTTATGGACATTTTATATATTTTTGTATCGCCGTATTTTGCAAGAGTTTTATACTATATTTTCTGATTTCTGACATTAATCAAGATGATTGCGACGAGATACCGGGAAATTTAATCACGTGTTGTAAATAATTGTAACAATAATTTGTCTTGATTTGCGTTCCCCCTTTCACTGATCATTCCATTCTTTTAATATTACGATCCATAGGTGGTAATTTGACGATATCTCGAACACATTCAGGACGCAAATGCACTTAGAATCAGAAAGTATATATTCAACTAATAGATTAATAGGCTAAAGCTGATTTATATTATACTTACATGTACATACACACACGTACACACACAGACACATTTAATTACATATAATTCAGCCTACAAGTTTACCATTGTTCAATTATTTTGCCGTTGTTATGTAGTAAAATGATGGGATGATAAAATGTCTATTCTTATCTATACGAGTATTCGAGAAATATTGACGACGCACTTATTCTTGATGAATTCTTACAATTCGCAATGGTAAAGGATATAATTAAATAAATCAACATATAAAAAATGCAAAGGAATAATTTAAATTTCTTTGATACATGAAACAAGCAATTAAATATGCAAATAATGCAAAGATTAAGATTCGTATATAAAGCGCGAATATGAGATAAATAAGAATAATGTGGCCTACATGATATTGCTATAAATATATAAACTATGTGAATTAGAACGTATAAGAAAATCAAACACTGCGCGATAGTATACGCAAAAAACTACACGCAAAAAACTACATAACAGTTGTTTACATTGTTTATTCTATTGTTCGTATTTGTAAGAGACTTTACCTGATTTAAGTGCCATGTTGTGCTTCTTGAAATGCATTTACTCAATTTTACAGATTTCTGTTAAAGATTAATTACTCTTTGTATCAGTTACGTTTACGATTACTATTATGTTTAAAATTTAATATTCATAGTAACAATGCGATCACAAAGCGATATTGCAAATTATTTTAATATTTCTAAGGATTGTTATATATAGCTTATAATATATCAAGCATATCTCGTCGAGAATGTTTATATCACAAAAATATCGCTTTTTATATGTTAAGCAAAGAGAGTTAAAAAGAGAGTTAAATAGAACATCGTTGAAGCAACAAAGAAATTATTTAATGCCGCAAATTGTAACAAGTATAGCACTCTGTTCATACTATAACACTTTAACTTTAAACTTCTGATGTAATTCTTCCAAATTGTGTGTACAAATTATCGTGATGGAAATTACCGCTTGAACATTCCAGAATTAATAGTAGCGTTTTATAACGATAACGTAAAATGTTAATTCTTGTATTTCGAATATCTACGAACTTCTCGTCGAATCGTTCGGTTTTGAAAATTCAATGGATTTCCGCTTGTTGTATCATTACGATGTTTCAATCTCGATTTTTATGACAGCGTACTACACAGCCGATCAAAATCAAGTGTTCGATCGAGTCGATAAAAAATTAAATACTTGCGGAATATGATTTTGTTTTATGTGTGTTTAACGTATACATATATATATATATATATATATATATATATATATATATATATATATACTTTATTAGAACTTTTCTACGCAGGAACGATTATATTACTTGTCGAAAGTAATATCATTTTTTTCCGACGAAAGGACATGTCGTGTCTCATTCGACGAGATTGAAAGCGTTATCAAAATACATATTGTTACACATTAATGCATTTTGATACATTACTAATCCAAAGCAGTGCGAGAACTTCTTGTCTCTTCTAATTACGGTAAATTCGTGCTTCGATGACTATCCAGTCGCTTTATGAACGCTATGTGTATCTTATTCGTCTGTAAATAGTAATGTGTGTGTGTGTATCAGCTTTAGTTAAACGTCGAGTCTAACTTAAGAATTTTATATGATTTAAACGACCATCTTCGAGATTAATCGTCGAATCGACACGTGTTTTTGACTCTTGGTTCGATTTGCTATTTGTATTAATACGAATTCATATGAATTCATACGAATTTCCACACCTGACAAATTCTTGTACAGAACGAATGAGGAACACTCGTGTACAAAATGTTGAAACATACAGATAGTTTTAATATAGATACACTTGAGGTGACAATTACGATTATCGCAAGAAGTAAAAAGAGAGAAGTGAAACACAAAAGTGAATACTCTATGTCAATGTTGTTAGAGCAATGTGAAATACGTGTATAAATATTATATAAATTTAGCAATATGAAAGAGATGAAATCGATTGTATAGTAAATATCGATTTTGCATTACATGTAATTTGTGCGTTTGCCTGTCGAAAGGTTTCCCGCGCGTAAATTGGACGTGCGGAACCGTGCGACTTTTGCGTAATTTTATTTCTCGATCTAGTCCAATTGAGATTAGTAACCGGCATAACATAGCACTGATGTATTTTAACGATTGTGAGAATGATCTATGACTGTGTTGTGATTCTTATATGGGAGGAAGTTTAATCGTCGAAATAGGCTGTATTATCTCGACCTCTCTTGTATGTATTACACGATATAAATAATGATATACGGCCCTTTTGAAAACGAATTCAGCGCGAAACAGCAGATAAGAAGTCTCTTATCGCAACTTTCACATATATTATGAAACTAACAACACCAAACACACGTTCGGTCACTTGGTGATCCTTCTCAATGGTTTATAAACACCAAACGGTTAAAATCAAAGTCCAAATCTACACATAAATTATATCCAGATGCAATACAACACATGCATATAAATAAAACCTTGTATGAACCTTTAGTAGCGATTGATGGTGTTTCCGTTGTGGTATCCCATCGAACAATGTGTCCTGGTGGTAAATTAGTGTGACAACTACAGGATGAATTTTACCACCAACATATTTTTTAGGCTGGCGAATGCAACCGTGGAGTCTTTCCAATAAAAATCAACTAACAGTAACATTACATCAATTAATTTCCCACTTAATAATATAATTATTACATAACATAAGTTATATTGCACTTACATTGTTCAGTGGGAAATTATAATATTAATGTTATGTTATTAATAGTGGGCGTTTGTTGAATTCGTTGTCATTTGCACAACGATCTGTGAATTGTAATTATTTTACGATGCAGTAACGCTTGCAGGAATCGAATAAAATTAAATATAATTGGCACTTGTAAGTGAATACCTAAACACATATCGATGGGAGACAATAATTAACACTGATTATGATAACTAATGCGCTTAATAAATTGTTACATATCGCAACGGCTACTTATATCTTAATAGTAGCAAGTGAGCAATGTGTGCAAACATATATACATACATACACACATTGATACATAGCGTGTCTGAATAAACAAGCAAAGCTTATTATTATAAATATTGTAATAATAGGCCATAAAAATTGGCCAATAATTAGCCATTTTGTGCATTAATAACATTCTTTACACTTGATATGCAACATTTTGGATACAAATCTTATGATAAGCTGACTCTTCATCTAGTATTTTTACGTTATCCCAATTAAAATTATGATTACATCATGGATAAAATACATATTGCTTCAAGAAATGCTAGGCAATCCTGCTTTATGCACCTTAATGATTTATATATATATATATATATATATATATATATATATATATATATATATATATATGTTTTGTATATATGTGTATTTTTATTTATGTGTATGTATTTTATCTGGACATCATAATGTTTTACATTTGGACTTCCATTTTAATTGTTTATGAAGGGAGTCATTGGATGAAGACTAAAACAATTATTGTTATTTATTATGCAATCTGTGAGAATTGTGCATATATTCCTGAATGACACAATGCATCCTAGAAACATCTTGGATATGCCCAAAACATCTGGAGAGTGTCCAAAATATCCTGAGCATATTCGAGATGACCTCAGAACATTTTATGCTATCTGAGTTAATAACTTGCGGTAGTACTTCTATTTAACATTCCTCTCTGGTTTCGATTCTTGTTAGAAGTCGTAAAATCGTTAGATTGCTAAGCAAGCGAAAAAACAATTCGACAAAAGAATAATAATACATTTTTACATGAAGAATAGATAGACGTATCAGCGTCAAAGATATACATATACATAACACACGCATAAGCACATTTCTATCATTATTTATTAAGCTTCATATAAGCGAGATAATTTACTTCTATAAGATTGTAACAAAAATATTATATATTATGAGAAAAATGAATTCCAAAGTATACAACTGTAATTTACCACGCAACACTTATCATTACTGTGATTTGCGAGATAATTTGCGGAAAAGGAAATCTATATAACACATACATACAAAGTCATTAAATGTACGAATTGCTGTTAAATTTTTGACAAATTATAACATAATGTATACACGATAATGGTGTACCATTTACTAGACGATAATTGTCCTACTTTATTTCCAATCTTGATGTAAGTAAAAAGTATAACTAACTCGTATCTACTTAGTTCGCGAAGAAAACTTTTAAAAGAGACATGAAGGAAGGGAGAAAGATATATACACACACACGTGGGCCATTTTACGGGACCCACCCAAATTTCTCCATAGGTAATCCAGATATAAAAAAATATTTAAGACAAAACTTGTTCAGGACAATGGGGATCATTTTTCTCAATAAATGAATTTGACCTTGAGGTCAAATTTCAAGGTCATTGGGGGTCATAGTGATTTTTTTAAAATGAGACCGCCTACTTTTGATATCGGATTCGAAGAGAGCGGGAAATTTTACGTCAAAAATGATATTTTTAAATTTTTTATTTTGACCTTTAGAAGGTTAAATCAAGGTTTTAAAAGCGCTCAGAAGCTGTTTGTTTAAATGCGATTATCTTACTTTTAGCATTACCCAGAAACAACGACGTGGACGTAGTAAGTTCTGTTTCCTTTGGGATGCTTGATTATCGTGAGTCCCCTTGCCTCTCACGTTTAGGGTGCTTGTTTACCGTGAGTCCCCTTGTCTCTCACGTTTGGGATGCTTGTTTACCGTGAGTCCCCTTGCCTCTCACTATACAATTACATAATCAACCACGAAGCAAATGTTCAAGGTTGCCTTCATTGGCTTCAGGGCAGAAATTTAACAGCTTCTGAGCGCTTTTAAAACCTTGATTTGACCTTCTGAAAGACAAAATAAAAAATTTAAAAATATCATTTCTGACGTAAAATTTCCCGCTCTTTTCGAATCCTGTGTCAAAAGTAGGCGGTCCCATTTAAAAAAATCACTGACCTCCAAATGACCTTGACATTTTACCTCAAGGTCAAATTCATTTATTGAGAAAGATGACCCCCATTGTCCTGAACAAGTTTTGTCTTAACTATTTTTCTATATCTGGCTTAC